ACATAAGGGGAGAAGGGAGTTACCCCCCCCTTTTCCCAGTTCGCCCTTCCACGAGCGAGAGGACACGAGCCGAGAGGAAACGGCGCCCAAGGCGCCCCTTCGGGCCCCGTGGCGCGAGCGCCCGCGCTATCGAGAGCCGAGGCGCGTGAATGGTGAGATCCATGGGCCGGGAAATGGGCGTGCGCCCGCCGTTATGTACAGAGCTTCATGGTGCTGCGGGAAAAAGAAACACATATATATATATATATGTATATATATATATATACTGCCTCTACATATATATATATATGTACACAGTTATACCATTAAATTTACATATGATGTGTATACATATATATATATATATGTATACATACATATATATATGTGTAAATACACACTGCATATTCACATAAATACAAAACCATACCTATATATATATATATGATACTTCTTGAGGGTATTCTTCTTTGGTCGTGTACGGGGAAACAACATTTGGTGGGTCCCCTCAAAAAAATACACACCCATATGTCGGGGGCGCTGTCAATAAAGGGCCAGGATGTTGTTTACTCGCCTTGCAAGAAGTTCATCTTGGTTTCCCGACCAAACATGCGGTGGTCCTACCTTTTCTAGCTCTACCCATTCTCTTCAATCCGTCTCTTCAAATCCGTCCCTTCAAAAAAAGGGGGGCCGAACCCTGGAAAAAACATGGTGATTTCTAAAGAGAAGGATGGGTGAAGAGAATGGGGAATCAAACCTTGCAACTTTTGGTGTTTTGAGGGTCCATGTGCCCCTCAAAACGGGGTGCCCTCGAAACGAAACACCCTTCTTCGGCATCTTATACATTGGTTCTGGGTCGAAGTCCAACTATACCTCTTGCCAGCCCTTACGTGTTACCCGTTCAACAACCTTCGAGTGAGTGTCATGGAAAAGTCTGCGTTCACCCGCGGCTTTGGGGTCCCGGCCTGGGCACTCCTCTTGCAAACACCTCGTGGAAATGAGGCAACATGGCCATAAGTCAAAATCCAAATCGGTTAGCCCGCAGTGAACATCCCAATCCAACCACTAAAATAGACTAAAATGGGTGGTGCACCGAAAACCCCGAAATGCTACCATGGGCTTTGACCCACAGCCACATGCCGGTAGACTTGCTGGTGCGATAGGTAGCGAATGACCGAGGGGGCTGGTGTCTGTGTATATGTATATAAATACACGCACACATAAATATGATAGATTCGTTCTGTTTTGTAAAATGGAAACAACATGTTTTGTCCTGGGGTCCGTGTTCTTTGATAAGCTTCAAACCAAACCCTGAGTTATTTTCTGAGTGTCTCACACTTGCAAAAAACCAGCGAACACGCCTTTTTCAAACTCGTGGACCTATGGCAGCTATGAGGGGCCTACCTATCAAACCCGCATTGCGTAGGGGCTTCTCCTTGCCTAATCTCAGGCTTCAGGGATAGCCCCTGCCCCCCCATAGCCCCATTGCAGGTCCAGACCGGCCAGCGCATTCCGGACCCCGCCGGCGAAGCATTTGCGCCGGCACGAAAACCAAGGGCTCCGCTTGGGCGGCTCGAGTGTTCTGCTTTGAAGCGAACATGCCCAGCAGTTTTGGCGTGGCTCGAGTGCCAAAACGCGAAAATCCTGAGAAATCAGAATCGCAACATCAGGGTTCATTCTCCCCAAAACGAGAACCCCTGGGTTTAAGTCTATCTTGGGGTAGGCGGTACCCTTCTGCTCAACCTTGGAACATCAAAGAGCGCCGTTACAAAAAACCCAGCGCCCTTGCTTGGCCCCATTTGTTGCGAGCTCACAAGCGTTGCCCTGATCGCATCGCACTCGAGCCGGCGCGGCTGGTGGCCGTGCTGGGAAAATTGGATCAAGACGCCAAGAGGTGCCTCTGTACGCGCTCGCGCATGTCAGCCACAGAAGAAAGCTGCTTTTGTGTATGGAGTGGATGTTGCTGCGATGTACTCGCGTAGTTGCGTAGAACGAGTACCAAGTGCGCGCGAGACGCATACCAATACGGAGAAGTTTGAAGGAATGTACCGTTGGCTGCTCCGCAGGAGTGCATGGAAAGATCAACCTGGAGTCTCCATGACCCTTAAAAAATGGGGTCATTACTCCAAAATTAAGGGGTCATGGACGCATTTTTTGAGGGTCATGGAGACTCTAGAAAGGTTCTATGTGTTTTGGCTGCCGGACATCTGATGAGTCCCGAGTCCTCCACATTGACGGACTTGACATGGTGACGGAAGGTCCTCCAGTAGAGGGGTTAGAACTTGGTTGACGTTGGAAGGGGAGCAAACAAAAATAACGTTTAGCAGTTAAGTGGGGATTTCCACTAGACCACAATAAGCAAAATGTAAAATGTTTCCCAACAACAACCATGAGAATAAGGGTACCCGATTTTCTCTCTGTAGTCTACTTTTGTAGCGGAACCTTCCCCCAAGAAAGGGTAAAAGGGCACTACTGGGGGACCTAGCGATGGAAGGTATGTTCATGGACGAATTCAATGGTCTGATTCGTGGGCGGAGTCCCTGGCCGCCCTTGCTGTGGAATTTGGGGAAGGGAATCTCGAATGGTCCTCGCATGTGCTTGAAAAAAGAACCTTGTGGGGCGAAAATGCAACAAACAACATCGACTGGAGCTGGGGATTCCCAAGTTCCCAGCACACCCCCGCCCATGCTAATCCTTAAAGGGATCACGTCGTGTCAGTGGCATGGCATCTCCTTGGCTCTCGAGGCGTGATCCTGGGTAGTTACCCAGGGCCAGGGGCCCCTATATTTCCCCAAGCATCACGTGAAAGGAACCTCACGTCCGGCCCCAAAAGGTTTCTGACGATCTACTTAGGGCCAGCTCACCCCAAGTAGACATACCTATAGGCCTTAGGTGCGGTTTTTGGGGTGTATGCCTGGTATAGCTCATGCACTATCTTTGGGGTATCTCCATTCAAGGTATGCAAGTTGGCCCGAATAAGCCGCCGAAGCGCGGGGAAGTATAGGGAGCCCTGAGGGCTGTTGCCGATCCTTTCGCGCGCGGGAATGCCCCACCCATTCCCCCTCCGGGCTGACGTACGCCCGGAGGGCTCGCTCCCCAAAGGTGTGGTATGCATACCACGATGGTGGATTCCAGGCAGCCGTGGTTCAAGGGCATCAAACATCAGCTGCTTGCCCGAATTGTGGCAACTACCAGAATTGTTTCATGATAGTCGAACTAAGTTCGACTCCCAAGCCCGAAACAAGGGGGTCTGCAACAACCGACCTTCAACCTTCATCAGGTCGTCATCCATTTTTGTTGGTTGCCACTCCAAGTTGCCCCCAAATTGTGTTCGAATGGCACCGGATTTCAATAAGCCACCTCGAAAGTTTGGACACGAACTTGCACCTAAAAGGTTTCTGAGCAATCGGATCCCCCGAAATGGTGCTTTCTCTTTGGCTTCCCTTACAGGGGTACCCTCAGAAGGAAACACACCCAACTAGGCCGTCCTCAGATCTGCGAAAAGTTACACCTGGAGTCTCCATGACCCTTTAAAAATGGGTCCATGACCCCATTATCTTTAAAAATGGTCAGAAGGAGCCCAACCACTGAACCTGACCAACCATTTTTAAAGGGTCAGAAGGAGACTCCAGGTACTTCTGAGTCAAAAAAAGAAACCCAACCACACCGACCAAGGAACATCTCAAGCCCGAGGAACCGGATGCCGAACCAGACGCCTTTACAAAAATTTACCGTGCACCCTCAAACTGCAAAACTGGGGCAACTCGGAGCACCACGACCTTGGGTTGCACTATCCCATGCTTTAAGGGAATTTTGAGGGTTTACCCACGCAAAAGGGAGACACTACCCCACAAAAAAGGGAATTCACCCCCATGCTTTTGGGTTGCAATAGCCCACAATTGACAGTATCTTGAGGCTCCAGATTTCAGATTACACAGCGCTTCGAACCCTGTGGCCGGATCTCAATGGCACTAGCCGAAACTGGGGTTCTGAGACGTCCTATGCCCATTGCTGGCGGCGGAAACGACGCGAATGCGGCCGATGGTTCAAAGCATCAAACATGATTCACCAGAACGAACAATGGGGAATCCCTGAAAACGGAACTTCATATTTTATGTCATGTATATATATATATATATACACACACATTCTACGTGACTATAATTTGCCCGACTCGATGCTTGCCCGTGACATGCTCAAAGGCTCCGACGGGCTAGCAATTTCGAGTGGCTCTTTGGCGGCATTCGCAAGAAGGACTGCTTTGCATGCCGCCAGCAAGGGCTCCCTACAGCCTATAGATGTTGGTACCGGCACCTGGGCAAAACGCCGCGAAAAATACACCAAAACACGTCCGTGAACTTCAAAGACTCCTGGCCTCCATCCATGTTGGTGCACACGCCTCCATCCATTCGAAGGCCGCTGCCCGGAGGGGTCAACCCCGGGGGCGATTGGCTGCATGCCAGCACTGCATTCAATACCAAGCCTTACGTGCATTACAAACATGACCATGTCCATTCGAAACCAGGCACATCACACGATGCGCAAATTCACTTGTCTAATGGACATACAAGGTGAGCCGGTTCTCCATTCTAGCAGATTTTCGAACATAAGCAAACGCCAAACGGCCACGACGCCCAGCCCCGGGTCTTTCCCCTCCAACAGCGCTTGTCTTCAAAGGCCGCCTCTACCGGCGGTTGGGACGAAAATGCGTGGGAAATGAGCGAAGGGCGGCACTTCACGTGCCGGCGATTCACTTGGAGGTCGCCTGCCAGTGTCATACACACCATGTCCCTGAACCTAAAAATGGGCTCTTCGCGCATGTTAGAGCGCCAGAAACACGGTGTCAAGCACAACCATTCGGAATCTTCCGAAGGGAGGGGTGGCCTGAAACATGATAATAACAAAGGGGATATCTCCGCGGCGCGGCGAAAAATCATAAACCAGCGAAAATCAACAATTGTCAAAGCTGATTCGCATTGGAATGACAGCAGCTGAAAAGGACTGAGAAGGACGACGTGGACCTAGCATTGCGCATATCCTGCCAGAGGCCAGGCGGAAACACGCTCGAGATTTAAAACAGAATGTTATTTGAAGTGCTATTTGCTCGGGGTGGAGGGGCCCTCTATGCAGTTGTCAAGTGTTATCAATGAGAAATCCAGGGGGTCTTTTTTTATGGTACCCTTGCTTGGTGGCTTTGAAGGGAAAACAACAAGAACACAATCATTTCGGGGGACATCATGCAGTGGATGGACGAAGTCCTGCAACACCTAACAATGATGCCCATGTAAATACCAATAACACATGGTTTCAACCATGGTTTCAAAGCGGCGTGAACGGATTTCGCAACCATCCACACAGTAGGGCGTGTCAACATGCTTGAATTGTGGATCTTGCGTGGTTTCCAACCTGGAAAAGAGTGCCTGCAAAAACAACAAGCACATATTTTTGAATGTATACATATACACATACATGCATGCATATATATATATATATATATACATACATATATGTACATCTGTAAGTCTATATTTGTGTGCATTTCATATACAAAGGCAATATATATATATATACATAAGAATCTGTATATACATATATATTCACATCATTACATTCAACGTACAAATAATCCTGTATTTGAATCTACATATAATTATTACTACATATACCAAGATTAACAAATAAAATGACAGGAATATATACACATATACTGCGTATATATATATATGCTACTCCCCCCCTTGAAATACTCAGGCTCTCGTCCAGAACTCAAGTTTTTGGCCAGACTGGGGGAACTCTGAACTGAGCTGACAGGACGTGCAGCTCCATGCAAAGTCAAACCAAGCAGAAGTTAAGCTCAACGTTCAAAAGGAGCTCCTGGTTAAACAGCTCGAACGCGAAGTGCGCTGAAAGTCACACTGGAGCCTGCGAAGTGCAATGTGGCAGCCCCAGCTCAAAAAAGCACAACTTTCAGCATAGTACGCGAAGCATGCTTTGGCAGCTTCGTCGTGCCTGTAACAACTGTTTGGTTTCACTATTTCTGTTTTACAAGGAAACTCGGCAAATCATCCACTTGGGGGAAAGGAACTCAATCCTACTTGCAACTGACATCCAATCAAACATAAAAATGCCTCATGTCCTTGCACCGTTGCATTTACATGCTCATGCGTTGTTTGTACATAACTCCATATTTATTCTAACTAGGTGTGTTTAAATCAAACTTGCAAAGCAGCTATCTCAGTTGTATGTTACTTGTCGAATACGATTCAACCACTGTCAAGAACAACTATTGAAATTCCAGTATAGGAAGGATATGACAATTAGAATGATTTCGAGTTCAAGCCACATTCAACTTTAACCGGTTGCAGTTTGTTGTGCGTTTCAACAGTCAGCTGGAGAACAAAGCAGTCTTGTGGCCAACTAAAACTGGAAACAAGAGAAAACATACATAAGGGTGATTGTCATTCTCTAACTTCATGTGGTCTTAACCAAGCAAGAAGTGAGCCAAACCAATAACAGAGAAGTGTTTTCAAACATAGATCTTATTCTTTGCGTAAAAGGCTGTAATACGCGGTTTTTCCCATTCGCTCAGATCATGTTGCCCTGGATCGAAGGCCTGCTATTCAAGATTCTACAGACATCGGTTTAGAACATCCTCAATCCTGGCCCCCGAAAGGCTTGACTAGGCTCTAAGGTTTTCCCACCTGCATTGCAGATTGAAGATCTCCAGATGTTGTTTTTTGAAAATCTTCCATCCTGGCCAGCCCTCAAGTCCCACAAAAGCTGCGAAGCTTTCGAAACACATGTTTCCCTTATTGGCAAAATGCAGGCGGTACACATCCACAGTTTGACTCTTGGAACGTGCTCTGCTTGTCCGCCTTGTCAGATTCCATACTGGGGCAATCCAGAATCTGCTTTCACATAACGGATTGCCGCTTGAGGATTGAAGGTTCTTTAACAACTCTTGATGGGATTCTTCAAATATGTACTCAGGGCAATCCAAGATGTGCTAGCACAGCCTGGATTGAAGATTGAAGATGGAAGATTCTCTGACGACATTTCTGCAAATCCATACTTTGGTCAAACTGATATGTGCCAGCACATCCTGGATTCCCCTAAGTATAGATTTGAAGAATCTCAGCAAGAGTTGTCAATCATATTCAATTCACATCCTGGGTTGCACTAAGTACTGATGCTATAATTTAGGTTTAGAAAAGATTGTGTTTTTTGAGCATCGTTGTTAGAAGCTAAAAAGTGCATTTCATATGCTTTTTCACAGCACGCATGTCAATGTTTGGACGAAAACCTATATATATATATATACAGTATATATATATATATATGTATTATACAGCGTATATATATATATATGTATATATATATATATATATACTTATGTGTTTCCTCTTGAAGGGTTCCGAAGAGCGAAGGCCCACGTTGGCCTGCGGGGAGCGGCTGCCGCTGCGGCTGTTGGTTGGAGAAAAGCTCGGGGGCTTATTGGAGGCAAGGTGGGCCGCGATCTCGCCTCAGGGCAGCTGGGGCTTTGTGACCAGCGGAAGGGGTGTGCAAGTGGGGGGTGGGGGGTTGGGGGGTTGAAAAAACAAAAAACAGCTTCCCTAAAAATAACAAAAACGGTTTCCCTAGGAAAGGTCAACAAATATTTGCCCAAAATGGTTTCGTTTAAGGGAAGCTCCTTCCAGCTCATGCCCAAAACCCGGCTACCTATCGCACCATCAAGTTTGATTCGGGTGACGTGCCCGGACGAAATGTGAGGCTGTCAAAATGATGCGTTCCCGTCCGGCCACATTATAGCCTACTGCCACTGGGATGGTCCGCATGGTTCTCCCTGACCAGTGCGGCCGAAAAATGGCCAACATCGACTTTGACTCATGGGCAACCAGGCGTCCAAACCGAAACATCCAGTGACACCCCCCAATTTAACGGCCCGTTAAGAAAGGAACCTGCAGCATCCCAAATAAAAAGGGGCCACAACCCATGCATCATTGGGTTGTTTGATTGAAGTTGGCATTAGGACCTTTCAGGGGGGGGAATCTAAATAAATAAGGTCGACTTCAATTGAATATGATTCTTTACTGGGCAACCAGGTGGATGTCATGAAACCATGGGAGATAGTTCGCTCGACCCACCAAAAAAGTCGCGCTCCCTTTTGGAGTTTGTAGCCATTCGAGTGGTGGATTGGTGTCTTTCGGGCTATTCAACTTACGGGCCCAAACAAAACACAGATCAACTAGTTGCATAGGACATCGATCCCAAAACCGTGCAGAGAAATGCGGTGTCGGGCTTAAGGGCGTTCCCTACAGCAACCTCTCCCACCCATGACACAGCTGGGCTGTTCCCCTTTGATCCCCGAAAACGTCGAACACTTGCTAATGGTGTGGAAACTACCACCAAACCAACTAAAAAAACCTAAGGAACCGAATGGCTGGGAACCAAACTGCAAAAAAAGCTCAGAAAACCCTAAGGGACCAAAAAGCTAAAACACAGCAAACGGTGCTAAGAACAGCTAAAAGCGGCTAACAACAGCGAACACTCAGCAAAGCAGAAAAGCTCAAAGCGAAATCCTCAGGAACCGGACGGCTGGGAACCAAACAAAGGCAAAAAACAACCTTGAACACTAAACTATGCAAAACCAAAAAACACTGAAGAAAAACCAACCGCCAAACCAAAACAACTGCAGATTATATATATATATGTATATATATATATGTATAAACGAGGAACGAGCCGAGTGCCGCGTGGGTCCAAGCCCGGGCACGGATCCGGGCGCCCGGGTCCCCGAGGAGGTCTGCGTTCAAGCCCCGGCGCCTGGAGTCGTCGGAGGCTGGGGACTGAGACATGGAATGGCCACGTCGAGTCTGGGAAGCACACCGTGGGAAAAAAGTAGAACGTGGGAAACACACGTGGGAAAAACGCGTGGGAAAAGCACGTGGGGGAAACAAAAGTGGAAAAACACGTGGGGGAAACAACAGTGGGAAAAAACACGTGGGAAAACAAAAGTGGGAAAAAACACGTGGGAAAACGGTGGTCAAAAATAGAGCCACGGGAACGTGGGGAAATCACCGCGTGGGCCGTTTATCATGGGGGAGCTGGTCTATTTTCAGGAACACTGGTTTGTAATTGCTCAGATGGCTGTGGTTGTCAAAAATAGGGTAACCCCCAAATGGGTTGCCCTGGTAAATGGAAAGAAGGACTAAAACCTGGTCCCCTGCTCCTTGTAATTTTGACCCATACCCACATCCAGGTGGGAACTTAGACGTATCTACCCCATCCAGGTGGGAACTTGGACGTTGACGCTAAGCTCGGAACCAAGGGCAAACATCCGTCTTTGTGGGTACTGAAAAAACCACCAGTTGCGTCACACATACTCGACAACAATGACTTGATGCATGTGTGTGTGTGTGTGTGTGTGTGTGTGTGTGTGTGTGTGTGTGTGTGTGTGTGTGTGTGTGTGTGTGTGTGTGTGTGTGTGTGTGTGTGTGTGTGTGTGTGTGTGTGTGTGTGTGTGTGTGTGTGTGTGTGTGTGTGTGTGTGTGTGTGTGTGTGTGTGTGTGTGTGTGTGTGGTGTGTGTGTGTGTGTGTTTGTTTTATTGTGTTTCTCTGGGGACTGTCAACCTAACCACCGGGTGTTCTTTGGAAATGCAATGTACACATATATTCTTGGCTGGAGTTAGGACCCCAGCATTTTAGTTTTTGCCTGCTTAGTGGAAAACAAAGGGAACCCCAAAAAAGCACAAAATACAAAGGGGAACTAATTATGGGGAAGTATTCTGGCTTCTTTGCTTCTGGAAGAGGTCCTCTGCACTTCCATGTTTGGAGGTATTAGAGCCAAGCGGGCACCAGTGCCAATGTTCAACCAAGCTGACCTACAAAAACCTTGGACCTGTGGGTGTGGGGGGGTGGGTGGCCTTGTTGGTGTGTTAATGGCCTAGGTTTGGGTGGTGAAGCGGTCGTTTGTGTTGGCTGCCATGAACTGTTGTGGGAAGCGCTTGGCATATCCAGACTAGTGATAGCCTACAAGGCACTGGTTGCACTGGCTGCGAACGCTCAAAGCAAAATACTCCATCACGTGCTGTCGCGAAGCTGATTTTTTGGAGATTGCTGTAATCTGACCAGAGAGGTGATATCACATTCGCACGACGAAGCATTTCAGGCGGCATGGCGGACGATTTGGGACCTTTGAAGCAGTTGTCGCTTGATTGCGGCCAGGCGTCTCAACCTAAGCCCAGTAAGGAGCCTGCCCGTCAACTTTGGAAGTAAATTTAGCTCAGGTCCGGATAAATAGGCTCGAGTTCCGAGAGCATAGCTGCGGAGAGTTGACCATGTGGGCTTTTAACGACTTAAACAGGCAGCACAGCGTTCTTTCTATGTGTCCCCCTTAAAGATCACCACCCAAAGGGAACCTTGAGATAAATGGGCCAAGCGCAGTTTTCATGGGCCAAGTGATGCTTCGTATACATAAATACATACATGTAGATATATGTATATAACACCAAATCGGAATCTCTAGAGAGGCCTGCACCTAAAAATCCGTGTCAAGCCCCCGGATGAGCCGACCAATCAATTCCACATGTTTCTTGGGAACTCCGTACTACTTTCAAGGGGGCCAAGCAGGTTTAACCTTCACTTCCGATTTGGAGAATCCAATTGAAACGGAAACCCATTTGGTCGACATATCCTGTCACTAACATGTAACCCACCACACAATCCCTTAAGAACATGGTAAGGGGCCTCCAGCAGAGTTCCATGTTTGGAAAGGAGCACAGATTGGCAGGATATACGCAGGATGTTCATCCGGCCAAATATGCGTGTGTCTCCAATTATTTGCCTACGTAGAAGAAAACATATCAAACATGCATACATACCTATATATATGTGTAGGGGACCTTTGGTTAGGCCTCCTTTGAGTCGCAACCTTCCTTGTCTAGGACAGTAGCCGGTTTCTGTGTGTTTGCTTAAAAGATTTGGACGGGGGGACCTGAGCACGCCAGGGTGCACCCTCCCCCTTATATCAAAGTGGGGCCATGAGTACTGTGCCACTTCCAAAGGACCTTCGGTATCATAGAAATAGTCTTGGACATCAATCATTTCTTTTTGGGGATCACCTGGAAGACTGAGGGTTCTACGTGTTCTGGATCCGATATTTGTTGAAATGATCTTATTAAAAATAAAAATAAGAACACTACATACTGTGGATGGACAAAATCCATTTCGCACCACCTAAGACACCCTGGTTTCTGATACCAACAAACGTTATGGTTTCCCCTGGTTTCAAGGTGGTGCAGGATTTCGTCCATCCACAGTCTGGACCAGCTTCAAAGCGCCAAGTCATTTGCGAACTTGGGGCTTGAGAAGTGACACGAGCTATGCAGGCTCCTCAGGTAAAACCTTGGTGGTCCTTTGGGACATGTTTTCCTTTTCTTCTTTTTGGTTATGTAAGGGGGAATGGGAAAATCATTTAGGTTGTTGTAAACACATGTCCCTTAGTTGATTTCTTTCTTGCAGATTCCAAAAAAGAAACGGGGGGGTCAACAATACTTGTCAGGGGAAATTGGGCTTTCGGCCCAAATCTGGGGCACTCCAACAAACACGTGGACATGTGTTCTGATTCTGTTCCATATGGCTGTGGGTCAAAAGCTTTAATCCATGTTTCCATTTACCAGGGTTCCCATTGTGCGCACATATTTTTCACCCACTGCCATATTCATGTTTGGAGACCCAGCACCCGCCCCCACAGTCACATCCAGTGGCGGGGTCTCGAGTGGCTGCTGGTCTGGAGTCCTGAGAGCGACACGCGGGGAATGAGAAATGGAGTCTAACCCCAAGAAAAACCATCCATCCGATGTGGTGTCCTTTAAGGGACCCACCCCCCACCCACCCACCCACCCACCCACCAACCCACCCACCCACCCACCCACCCACCCAAAGCCAAGTTGGAAGCCTGGCAGAGCTGGTCAGAAGGTTTGGCTTCGTGAATCTCCTTCCGGTTCATTCCCCCCCTATCGCACCTGCAAGCTTTCAGGTGGCTGCAACTCTTAAAAACTCCGTGAGCCAGGCATGCTTTCTTTTACTTGGCGCAAGCTCCCGGACGCGGGTGACTTGGGACTACGAACAACTGAAGTCTCACCCGCTTCTCACCTAGGCTCAGAAGGATGCAATGCACCAAGCATGGCGTCTTGGAGCAAATGGGATTTGGCCAAGGAAAACAATCTGCAAATGCAATTTTCCTTGCAATTGTAAACCTACAAATTTGTAGGAAAACCAAACCAGCAAGGAGTAGCTGGTACACCCCGCACCTCGCTTACCCTTTTGTGATAACTGGAACTGGCTTACCCGCACCTCGCATGTGTAGCCGTCCTTTTGCATCTGGCTTGTTACCCTTCAGGCTCATGGATTCGCAGTGTGTTGCAACACGACATTTGCTCAGCTCAACCGCATATCACCCAGGCCCAGACCCAGGCCCTTGTGGCAATGGCATGTTTCATAGAGGTTTTGATGCACTTCCCAAGAAAGTCAATGACGCGATTATTCTGCAGATTTATCCGATGGCCAAGTGGATTGCGTGAAGCCAGCTGATATAAGCTGCCAACCACTTTGTGGAAGGGAGAGTCCTGACAATGACATAGCCAAATCAGAGATATTTGCGCGACTCTTTGGGACCCGGTTATGACCAAAGGGGTACATGACGGAGTGTCCCGCAAATTGGGACCAGAACTTTTTACCCCAACTGACCATAATGGCCGCTGCTTACCTGGGTTTTTGATGGTTTCCTGAAAACAAGGATCCCTGGAAAGAATGGAAATGGCAGGTAGCCCTAGAAGACTCTACGCCACACGCGAACGCAGCAAGGCCCCCAACACCGGAGCCCTTCAAAGCTATGGTCGACTCTATATCCTTTCGACCTGGCTCCTGAGGAAAGCCTCGGAAACATGCTAGGGGCCGGCGTGGAAGGAAACCTACAAGGAAATTACCAACTAGAATTGCCTCTTCTTAGCATGCGAAACAAGCTCTTTCCGAGCTTGGGACCAAGAAATCTACGACACCAAGCCCCCTTTCACTCACAGCACCAGGAATACACAGCAACTGGTACAACTCATCATCGTAGCTTTGCCGCTCTGCCTGTGGATGGACAAAACTCTCCACCACCCAGAGGGTCCAAGCACCTCATGAGAATTGCTTTTTGGGGGGTCAAACAGGGTCGTTCAGTACCTCCTTAGAAGGTACGAAGGGACCCTCTGGGCCAATTGGGTGCGGGTTTATCCCATGCAGCATTCACGACTCCCGAGCTTCCTGAGCTGGGTGGATGCGCCAAACAAAGTCCAAACTTCTTGTCTACGCCAACATGATTTGGCTGTGGTTGTCAAAATTAGGTACATGGAACCCAAGTAAAGGGAACCAAGGACTAAAACCTGTCCCCTGGTGGCTTAATTTTGACCCATACCCATTTGGCAATGGGTCAAAATCCCGTACCCCCAGTGAACATCAACCAATCCAACCACTAAAATAGGTTCTAAAATGGGTGGTGACTTCACCTACCAGCCAAAATGGGATCCCAAAACGGTTTTGACAACCCCAACTCTCCAACTCTCCAACCCCCCAACCCCCCAACCCCCCAACCCCTCAACCCCCAAACCCCCCCAACCCCCAACCCCTCACCCCCCACCCTTTTTAGGTTTAGAAACAGATGGGTTCCCACCCCACCCCTCGCACACCCCCAACCCCACAGCCATTTGGGCATCAAGTCCAGAAAACCCCCGAAGTGAGCGTCGCGTCCGGGGCGCTTGGCACCGATCTTGCCGCCAGAACCGTCTCTCCTGAGATGCGGAGACACGGGCGCCCTCTGCCGGGATCTCATGGGAGAAAGGGGCACGCTGCTGAGGAATTTTACTGGATAAAAAGAAAAAAGGCCCCAAAGCTGAATATTTCTTTTCTGAAAAATCCCATTCTAAAAAGACAAAAGGGCCCAAACTGGTGGTGTTCCTTTCAGTTTCCTTCTAGAACCACCAGAAAATGGGGCACGCTCCCCCAAAAAGAAACACACCCGCACGAGTATGTGGGGTTTTCAAAATCCATAAACATGGCCCCCGGTGTCCTTTATGTCCCTTTAAATACCAAAAGGCGGTCCAAGCCCTGGAAGATAACCAGAACACACCAAATGGTTGAGGCGGAGCAATAGGCTTTACCATTCCCCCCCTGTTTGTAAGGGGGGTTTTGCATGGACACTCGCGTGGAGGAAGTTGTCTCGACCAGCACAACCCTCCGAAAGGTGGATTTGAGTTTCGCTCCAGGGTTGCAAACGCAAGTGACGGAGGAAACTCACCGAAATCGATGCCATTGCTGGTTGGGGCCATTCACTCGGGCTGCAGCTGAGTGGCGGTGTCAAAGATCGCTCCTGAGATGGACTGGGCTCTCACGTTTGAAGAGGGGGTCATCGCTAAGCCCCCTTTGCAGGAAACCGAAAGGACTTGTTGTTCAACCGTTTTTTTGTCAGCATGGTTCAGGGGTGGCCCAAACCCGCGTTCTACCTGTGCGCAAGAATGCACTTAAACATACGTGGCCCCGTGACGTGAATCATTTTCAGAATGCCGCAAGGTGCACGATAAGTTTCACCAGCCCAGCAGAACAGAGTTGGGATACTCAAAGATGGGCCTGTCTTGTTTGAAGGAACCCAAGTGGAACGCTGCTCCCAAGCTCGCTAAGTGATACAAAACAACAGCGTGACTTCGCCTTTGCCCAGTGAAAGCAACCAAAGTAGCAACTCGTCTGTTCGCGGTTGCTTGAAACGGTGGACTCAGCATTTCTGTCGGGCTTCTCTGTTTAAGGACTGCTATATGCAAAAGCAAGAATGTTCTTGCACTGGACAACCTGATTGAGGCTGGATGATTAGGTTGAATGTTATGTCAGACTTGCTTGGCCCGAAAGACCAAACAAACTCCCAAGCCAAGTGTCGGTGAGGCGCTTCTTGATCGGAGTGCCTGAGATGGCTAGACGAAGTATGAAACAAATCGCGCGTTGGTCACAACTTTGCTTTGCCCGCAGGGTCCAAGGACCAATTGTTGTGTGTCCATTTGTTTATTTTGTGTGTGCACCCCAAAAGAGGAGTGTTCAAAGAGAAACCACGAGAAAGCCTCCATGCCCAACATCCCCCGTAGTTTGACGCATACCCATTCAGGCAAGGATGCATGATTTGTTCAACAGCCTTCTCCTGGGGCTTACAGGAACAGCCCATCTCTAGCTGCTTGATGCATCCCGCCTTCACTCAGAACATCATTCCCTCTCGGCTGTGACTTTCGTTTGCGTCTACCACGACCTCACAGTTGCACCAACACCCTTTGAGTTGGAAGCCTACCGGAGCTAACCTTACAGCATCAACACCCGCAAGTGGCAAGGCTAAGAATCCCAGACTTCACAACCCCCAGTCTAATTAATGACCCCGTGTGAAAGCCGAACGTGACTGCGGTCTCTGTGCCAGGGTGCCAGGGCACAAAGCATTTGCCTCACTTGTCGTATTCTTGGATTGCCCTCTCAACCCTCTCAGAGCAAAATTGAAAAAAAACACCATGACATGGGCCTCTTGTTTCAGGGAACCCGGAACACCTGAAATGGTGGCTAACCACAAAGCGGAGGTACATGTGTACTATCCAAAAAGACGCGGGTTGGGGACGCCACCTGTTTGAATCACTAGCTGCGCGTTGTTGGGAGCCCTGCGGGCTTTTTGTCACCCCTGCCATGCAGGAGTGCACGCACGAAGGCTGGATGTTCGAACTCTTTGGCTTTTTCTGAAGGCTTCCCTTTAAAACAAAAACAAACCCAAAAGGAAATGTGAAAACACAAACCATACCCAAGGTCAAACCTTACCCTAACGACTGGAATGCACCAAATGCCTGATGAACCTGCAACCGGCAGGGACGAATTTAGGCCTCAACCATCAACCAGCCCTCTCCAACCTGGAGAACCCTTTGGTGTCGGAATTCTCCGTCTTCAGGTCTTGCCAAAAGATAACCCCCCAGGGGCCCTTTTTTCAACGGTTTAGGGTTTAGGGTTTAGGGTTTTAGGGTTTCAGACCTTCCCCTTTTCAACAAGATAAGCTTACGTTGACCCACCTGCCCGAATCCCCCACCAATCCCACCCGCCCGCCCCACCAACCCCCCACCCCACCTCTGGCACTGGGCTCCCGGGCTTTCTTTTCGCTCCACGGGCGCCTCCTCTGGCGGCTTATGCAGCGCCTGAGCTTCAAAACAGTCCAAGGAGACCCCTCAAAATTGTGTTCATTTGGCTCCCTGGTCTTTTGAATCAGACCCCCAACAGGTTGGTGTTCCTTTTCATGTCCCTTAAACAAAGGTACCAACTCGAGAAAATAGCCACACCCAACCCGTAGCATCCTCAAAAGAGTGCTAAGAACCCAAGGGGCTGAGAGGCGGGTGGGGGCCGAGGGGGTGCTTCAATACAGATGCAATAAATATTGCAATACCAACCCACATCCAGCCAAAACACGGGACATGTGCGTTCATTACATGGTTTCCCATGCTTCCTGTTGCGTAACGAGGGTTTCTCTGGCCACGTCCCTCGGTCAGTCGAGGCAATTACACAGATTCTTGAGTGACAGCTCAGGTCACAAATAGCACCCACAGTGTCGAGCAATGTCCACAAAGACAAGGACGTTTGCAGCGATGTCATGTCCCTGCAAAACTACATCCGGGTGAAAATAAAAACAAGCTGTAAACCTTTTTCTCCGTCGCATACATCCTCTTCAGGCAAGAACAGTACACCACCGGTCGCAAACTCCTCCCGACCTGCCGCACTTAATCGCTCGTCTGGCTTTCCTGAAACTTGGAGCCCCTGTACTTCAAGGGCCCAAAGAAGTGGACACTGAAAAACAGCCATTTGAGGATTTTGGGAAACTGAACAAATAAATGGAATGCGGGTTTTGGGGAACTGAAAACAGCCATTTGAGCCATTCATGAGCATTAGATCCTCTGGGGTTGGATCTCTGGCCATGTTCAGACGCCGGGATGGGCTGGCGCGCGCAGTTCGCAACGCGCGCGCGCGACGTCCGTCCAAGCTGCCACCCTCTCCGTGGCGAGGAAGGACGCGCCCGCCTGAGCCTGGCGTTCCGTGAATGGAAGGACTGACATCGCTTGCCCTCCGATGGGGCCCACAAGGCCTGTAAGGAAACTGTCTTCCAGGGAGCCTCAGTCAGGTTCCGTGCTAGTGAGTGGGAGGGAAGCTTCCCACCTCAGTAGTTTTCCAGCAAACAGCATAAGCACCAAATCCGATGTCAATCACTATTGGAAGCAGGCATACTTTTGAGCCCTTGCAACACATGAATCATCACAAGTGTCCTGCTGTCTGGGTACCTGCAAAGAACTGTTTGGACCTCTGCATCTGCCTTAACATGGCTGACGGAAATACCTCCTCTAGCCCCAATATGCCTAGTGTATACATATTTATGTATGTATATATACATATATTGTACAATATACATATATATATACATATATATATATATATATATATGTATACATCTATATATATATATATATGTCAAAGTAAGGGAACCCTTCAACAAATGAGCAGAGTTGTTTTTTGGAAGGTAACGCTGATGACGTATCAGACGCCTACGCCGGCGTCTACGCCATCTGCAAATACCAGGCGGAATGGCCTACGCGAGGTGTATGTCAGGCTTAAAACGCCTGCAAGCCTACGTAATTGGAGCTTTGCTCTCAAAGTGCCTACGCGGTGTGCCTTTCGTGCTGAACTCGCACGTGCGCACCTACAGGCAACCTGTGAAGTCGAGCCTACGCGGCGCCTACGCCAGGAGCTCCCCAGCCGACTATCCAAAAGTGGCTACGCGCGCGTACGCACGTGCAGTAATATGCCTACGCGGGGCCTCATATGTCCACTTTCCTTTTGCCCCTTACTACCGTAAACAAAAAAAATAAAGTCCGCTCAAATTTACATTTTCTGGTTGGACTTGTTTTGAACTAACCTACAAAGCGGGGGACCCTCAAAAAACAAACACATATTATGCTTCCCAGCTTCAAATGAGACAACACTTGACAACAAAGCGCGCTTGAGTGTGGCAACATGCGATTGAAATGAATCAAAGAAACATCACAAACCAACGCAGTAAGCGGGAACTGAACAAGCATGAAGGCATCAAGCGCGTTGATCCACTGCGCAGTCAACCTGTTGATCACAGGCTGGATGATCTGAAGTCAAGATTGGTCTGCGCCAATTTCTCGGGCCCCCAACCGGATCTTTTGTTGAAGCCCTACTTGAGTAATGACCAACACCCGGTATGAAAATGGTCCAAGCCCAGAACCATGCTTCAAGAATTAAGAAGCCGGATACCCGCAGCTAATCTCCTCCCCCAATTAATGAATGACCCCCATTAATAATAAATGCGAATCCGGGGCCCGAGACCAGATTTCCACTCCACACAATTGATTTTTAATTGCGCCAATACTAAACCAATACTAAAGTCTTGGAATCCTTATTAGGGGGCACTTTTAACAAGCTTCCAGCCCCACTTTAAAGCTGCGACTGTCTCTCCCCCATACATGCTGGCTAACCTGCCTGGCTGCCAACAAACAACCAGTAAACTGAAAAACAAATAGAATGATACATGAAATTTCCTTATTAAACCGCTTACTCGCGGACCTTACAATTCAATCCATTTCCTCCAAATCCTATGCGAACCCTCACATTGTTGGAAAAGCAAACCCAACCCCGAAAACCCCAATTAAAACAAAATCTATTTTTGGGAGGATTTATTTATAATAGGGGGGGGGGGGGCCGTATTTATTAATAGGGGGAAGGGATTAATCATTGTTAGGAGTATCCCTTGCTGACAATCATCTACCCGAATCGGTTGTGAGCACGTGGCTCAGTTGCCTCTGCAGTTTGCCAGCAAAACGTTCAAAGTTGTCTATCCCTGGACCCTCAAACGTCCAGCTTCAACCTGGGTCGTTTCAACCCAGAACGATGGTCCGTGAATTCCCCCCCCCCTCTTTTTGTTCATGGGTGTTCCAGTTTTTCGGGTCCAGGTCCATGTTTTTCCCTTGTAACTTTCACTTGGTTGCTGTTTACCCCCCTGCAAAAAGTTTGGCGTTTTGGGGGTTTAGTGGAAAACCCCTTAATTTCAACCAAACAGTTAGTCTAAAGATCCAACCCAATAGCAGTCAAGTCCATGTCACGCTTAAACCGAAGGAGCCTGGCCTCTTGAGCATTCCTTGCCTCCTCGACCTTCTTCGCCACCTCCGCCCTTTTGGCATCTTGAGCCTTCCTGGCCTCCTCGGATTCGTTGGCGCTCGCCTCAGCCTTCAACTCTTGAGCCTTCTTGGCATCTGCCACTTTCTTGGCGATCTCGGCTCTCTTGGCCGCCACGGCTTTTTTGGCTTCCTCTTCATTAACCTCTTCTGCCTTCGTGCCTTCCGACACTCTGCCTTTCTCTGCCTCCTTTGGTTCTTCAACTTTCTTGGCCTCTTGAGCCTTCCTGGCCTCTTCCACTTTCTTGGCAATCTCTGCTTTCTTAGCATCCATCGCCAGTCTAGCCTCAGCCTCCTCTGCCTTCTTGGCTTCTGCTGCCTGCTTGGCCTCCTCCGCCAGTCTGGCCTCCTCTGCCTTCTTAGCCTCCTCAGCTTTTGTCGCTTCTGCCGCCTTCTTGGCCTCCTCTGCCTTCTTGGCTTCTGCTGCCTGCTTGGCCTCCTCCGCCAGTCTGGCCTCCTCTGCCTTCTTAGCCTCCTCAGCTTTTGTCGCTTCTGCCGCCTTCTTGGCCTCCTCTGCCTTCTTGGCTTCTGCTGCCTGCTTGGCCTCCTCCGCCAGTCTGGCCTCCTCTGCCTTCTTAGCCTCCTCAGTTTTTTTCGCTTCTGCCGCCTTCTTGGCCTCCTCTGCCTTCTTGGCTTCTGCCGCCTTCTTGGTCTCCTCCGCCAGTCTGGCCTCCTCTGCCTTCTTAGCCTCCTCGACCTTCTTTGCTTCGGCCGCCTGCTTGGCCTCCTCGGCTTTCTTTGCTTCGGCTGCCTGCTTGGCCTCCTCTGCCTTCTTGGCTTCTGCCGCCTTCTTGGCCTCTGCCATTTTCTTTGAGGCATCTTTTGACGGAATCCTCCAAACAATTGCATGTGGGTGTGGGTGTTGGTGTGCGTGTGTGTGCGTGTGTGTGCGTGCGTGTGCGTGCGTGGGCGTGTGTGCGCGCGTGTGCGTGTGCGGATGGCGGTGCGTTGGAGCGTGATTGTGCGCTTGTGTATGTGTGTCTGTCTCTGTCTGTCTCTGTCTGTCTCTGTCTGTCTCTGTCTGTCTCTGTCTGTCTCTGTCTGTCTCTGTCTGTCTCTGTGTGTCTCTGTGTGTCTCTGTCTCTGTCTCGGTCTGTCTCTGTGTGTCTCTGTCTGTCTCTCCTTCTCTCTCTCTGTCTGTCTCTCTCTGTCTGTGTGTCTGTGTGCCAACCTGTTCTTCGAGACCACTCATCGATCTTACCCCGGTGCTTCCAGGCAAGCTATTGTAGTGGGTGACCAGGCATTCTTGCCTCTAGGCTTTACATGATGGCTTTCTCCTGGTCACACACTGGGTAGCGGGGTCCTGCAAAATGGAGTTTCCTCCAAGAACGATGGTAGTTCGTGGGGTTCCGTCTTAATCTGGACAAAACCACTGCCCTTCTTGCGCCTGGTTTAAACCAGCCCTCCACCAAAACGAAACACCCCCTCCCAAAGAAGAAGAAGAAGAAAACAAACGGGCCAACCGCCATTTGTGGTCCCTGTGGCTTTGATACACACATCTATCAGTCCTCAGCATGGAGCTCCTCGCATCCTCCGTCTCCGCCGGCTGCAGGCCCGGAACCTTCCGCTCGCCTTGGATCAGATGCTTCGAGCGCTTCACGCTTCGGGTGGCGCCAAGTTAACGTTCACCCCGAAGTAGGCAGAACACCTGTGATGTTAATATGGGGGTGTTGATGTCTGGTTTTCCTGGCCACCTTTGGAGGAAAAGTCCCCATATTCATAAACCGGGGTTTATTAGTTACTTACGTGGGGGTGGTGGGGTTCCCCTCCAAAAGTGGTCTGAATCCAACCAATAAAACCAGAAATGGACAACCCCAAGTATATATGTATATATTCATACATGATTCATAACACGGGTTTATTAATCTGGGGTCAACACGACACCAGGCTGAACAAATGGCACAAGCTCCAATTCCCCGTAGGCTTTGGGGGATGACTCGCCAATTGTTCCACCTACTTTCATCCAACGCTATCACTTGGCTAGAAAAATCAATGTCCTTGACTCAAGTCAGGCAGGCTTGCTCCGAGAGGAAACCAATGGCCCAAAAGCTTTATAGAACCGATAACTTTGGTTCTGCTTGGGTGAAAGTAGATGGCACAAGTCAATCCATGGTTTCGTCAGCCCTTTACTTACAACCGAGAGTTGTGCCAGCCAATGTCCGCCATATTCCTTTCCAAAAAACATATTTTGAGCACAGCCGAGGTAAGCCATCGGTTTACTCCATAGCGCATTTGCGTCCTCATGACGCTTCCCTGGTTGCCTGTTGTAGATACCTACCGAGCAACTCAACCCTTCCTTTCGGATATATCCAACACTTTATGGTTGGGACTCAAATTCGGCAGTCGTTTCTTGGGTTGTCAATGGCCCTGGCAGATCCACACAAAACTCACTACATATCGTGTTCCGTGTTGCTACCCCCCCCCCCCCATATGGTATGGGTTTCCCAGGACCCCCCCCCATTTGTATATATATATATATATATATGTATAGATATATATATTATTATATGTATACTCGGCAGTGATGCACCAAGCAACATATCATCTAGCTGTCAAATCACTCTCCTACGCGAACACAAGAAGCGGCCGCTTTTCCGGACTCCTTCGGAAGCCTCGGTGGAACAAACAAATTACAGGGAGTCGCTCACGTTTGCGCCAAGTGATCACGAGACTGGGACACTTGGGCTGGCCAATCGCAGTGCAGCCCGAAAGAGCTGCTCAAAGGAGAGAGGCAGCCAGCTCCGGGGAGCGCAGAGTAAGCGGAGCCATCAAATGGGCAGAGCCAGCTCTGGGCCAGCTCCGGGCCAGCTCGGGTAGCTGGCTGGGGTACAGCAAGCTCGGGGTCTGGGAGGATAATTAGCAGCCAGGGCAGGCGGAGCCAGCTCCGGGCGTGTCGGGGTAGCCAGCTGCCAGCTCCGGGAGAGGTTGGCAGGCCAGCTCCGGGCGTCTTGGGGCAGGCAAAAGCCTGCGAATTTCCCAGGGCAGGCGCAGCCAGGCCAGGCCGAGCCAGCTCTCCCAGCTCCACGGTCTGGAAGGTTGGCAGGTGGAGCCAGCTCCGTCTTGGGGTAAGCTGCGGGGGTGGCGCAGCCAGCTCCGGGGTCTGGGCGTCTTGGGGTAGGCAGAGCCAGCTCCGGTGGGTCACAATCTGGAAAGCTGCCCGACCAACGCATCTTGGGCGGAGCCAGCTCTGGGGGTCCCAGGGAAGGCGCAGCCAGGGTCTGGGCGTCTTGGGGTAGCCAGCTCTGGCTCCGGGTGTCTTGGGTAGGCGGAGTCAGCTCCGGGGGTCTCAGGGCAAGTGCAGCCAGCTGCAGGGTCCGTCCGGAAGGTTCTTAGGCGGAGCCAGCTGCGGGGGTCCCAGGCGCAGCAGCCAGCTCAGGGGTCCGGGCCAGGCTGAGCTTCTTGGGGTAGGCGGAGCCAGCTCTGGGGGTCCCAGGGCAGGCGCAGCTCCGAGAGGTTTAGGCGGGGTAGGCGCTGGCTGTGGCTCCGGGCGTCTTGGGTTGGCGGAGTCAGCTCCGGGGGTCCCGCAGCCAGCTGCAGGAGCCAGCTGCCGGGGTCCCAGGCGCAGCAGCCAGCTCAGGCGCAGCTCCGAGAGGTTTAGGCGGTGTAGGGGGTGGCTGTGGTTGCGGGCGTCTTGGGCAGGCGGAGTCAGCTCCGGGGGTCCCAGGCAAGTGCAGCCAGCTGCGGGGTCCGGAAGGTTGGCGGGCCAGCTCCGGGCGTCTTGGGCGGAGCCAGCTGCGGGGGTCCCAGGCCAGGCGGCAGCCAGCTCCGGGGTCCGGGCCAGGCCGAGCCAGCTCTGAGCAGGGTAGGCGGAGCCAGCACTGGGGGTCCCAGGGCAGGCGCAGCCAGCTCCGGGAGGTTGGCCGAGCCAGCTCCGGCTACCAAATTTATAATTGTGTTCTGATGATGTTTGAAAGGCTTGGAGCGCCTGAATTTGGGCAATCCCGATCCGTCAAGGGAACTGTTCGGAAACCCAAACAACCAGGGGCCCTACTATTTACCCCCCCCAACCAGAGGGTGTACATTTGATTCTACAGTTGTGGTACTAAAGCTAAAGGGGAGTCCTTGGCAAGTCAAGGCAAGGATCAACGCTGAGCAGCGCAAAAACACGAATTGACTTTTGGTTTGTCTGAAAAGAGTTGTAAAGACTCAAGGCTCAAATTCGGCCTCAGTATGCTTATTCAACCAGGTAGGAGTCAACCACCTATGGCCAGTTTAGGGGTTTTCGTTTTGGGCGGTCGGCTTTGAACCCGGCCGCTGACTGTCGCCAACTCCGTCTGCATCCGGAAGATCTCCTTGGCTGGAGTACCCTTCTTTTTTTGAACACCGCCTCTCCTGAAATCTCGTGAATGGACCCCATGAAACGCGGGTTTGCCGAAAGGAACCTCCTCGAGAATATGACCTAAGTTAATCAGTGTAAAACCATACCGTGTTTTCAGGCTTGCGCCAAAGAACACCAAGCCAAGCTTGAAAGGAAACTCGCTTGCTGGTTCTCAGGAGATCAAGGGCTTGGGAACGAACCTGGAGATCCCCAAGGAAACCACAAGGGCTCATAGTCCCTGGGAACCAACGAAGGAAGCCAAAAAAGGAATTATGGGTCTGTCATTCTTGAGTTGCTACCCTTTTGGGGCTTGCTTCAAAGGCGAACCAAAAGCCCTATTTTAAGGTACACCCATATTGTTTGTCCAGTTTGCTTGAACTCAACATTATATAATGAAGCCACTGTCCACTTCCATGGTGAAGCATTGGTAGCTCCAGGCTTATCTATTGCGGCTTTCACCTAAGAATAAGGCACGCCCAGCATAAAGGGGAAACAAACAAGATCAGTCGCACCCAAGCGCATCGATTGGTTGTCAGATAGATGACCATCTGTCAGTTGGCTACCTTTCCTCACTTCCCAAGTTGACTGGCCAAAAAAAGTCTGAACTTTTTATTTACCACTAAAATGGTCTTTCCAAAAGGTTAAAAAGTCCACCGACTCAGGAAGTGAGCTTCTTTTCAAGGGCTATTTTGGTCGCGTGGTACACCTTACGCCATCGCTTCCAAGTGGCGGTCTGCTCCTGCACCTCCAAAGGCCTCGGCTCCGTTCCGGTCCGGGCTGCGTTCCATTTCCGCCCAGCCCATCGGGACCCAAAGGAACAGATCCAAGACCGAAGGATGGATCAAAGGGCTGGAAACTGCGCATCTCTCGTGGGGTATGAATCTGACTCCTTTGATTCATCCTTTGGGAATTGGACCCTAAACCCCTTGGATCTTCATCCAAGGAGTCAATGGGGAATCTGACTCCGTCTAGAATCTGACTCCTACCTTGGGTTCGGAATCGTGTCCAATTCAATTGAGGGAGTTCCAATTTCATTGCATAGCCACTTTTGGTTGGGCATTTTGTCAGGAAAGCAGACTTTACAAGTATTAGGACGTCAGCAGTGAATCCGTGTACTGTCAAACATCCCTCCACCTCCCACCCGCTCAACACGTCTACACATATCATGTCACATCTCTCATGAGAAAGCTTCCCGACGACAAATATGTTAGAATACAATTTGTTCTTTGCCCGCGCCAACAACAACAAACAGAAAAGACACCGCAATAACAACCAAAACCAATGAAGTATGAGCTCACAACCCCAGTGTACCTACTCCCGCCCAGAACTTTCAATTGCAATTGTAGAGGCAAACACCCTGGTTGAGATCGAACCACAAACAAGGCAACTCTGGAAGTACCACAACATTTAACCCTCCAGCCATTCTCCGAAACAAATTGAACCGCTAAACCGAGCGGCGAATCTGACACCTGCGACATCTCCGACATCATCCGCTCGTACGCCTTGCGTGCTGGCTCCGGCTCCTGGCCAGCAAGTGGCTGGTCAAAAATACGGGAACCCCAAAATGGATAAAATGGCTGGCCCTGAGAAATGGAACCAACGACTAAAACCTGTGTTTTTGTTTGTGTGTTTCTGTGTTTTTTTTTTGGTGGGTTGACTTTGACCCATACCCAAAGTTGAAGTCAAGAAAGACCTGCAAAGAACCGCCGAAACCGAAGGTCCAGGGCTGCCAAAATGAGATATGGAGGGATACCTGCCACCCTCAAAATTCCAAATGTCTTTAAAAATGGGGCAAAGTGCAACCCAAACCTATGGGCTTGCTGAATTCCAACTTCTTTATGGGAAGTTCCTTCGGGTCCAGGTGCGCATTTTAGTCCAACAGCTTGAAATACAGAGACTTCGAGGGCCATGCTGAGCGTGTCGTATCACACGAATCGGTGAGCACGCTATAGGAAGAAAGCTACACCAGCAACCCGCGCTTTAGTCAGTAACCCGCATGTGTGCCTCTGGAAATCACATGTGGCTTGTTGGGATGGTCATCCAGCTAGTAAGGATGCTTAATCACCCCTACAATGCTTCCGGTTCAGGGAACCATGACCCAATCGGCCAAAGAAACGCTGTTTCGAATATGGCGCGCACACATGGTGGTTTCCTTTACCTGCCTAACATGGTGCCACAATTCCATTCCACTTCTGTCGGCCTTTGCGGGTTGGGCCATCTACTTTCACCTCCAACTGCGCAGCATACCAACAATTCCTAAATCCCTAAAGCCCCACTGCACTTTGCATCGCGGCCGCAAGTTGCCTTATGAATGCTGAATACAACTATATACACATACGCATCCTCTCGAACAAAACGCTGGCAAACCCTGAATTCTTTAGCGGTGATATTAACATTGATCTTGTAATACACAAGGCTATGCCAGACCGAAAAAAACAAAAATCCTTGATACATGAGCCTTTTCATTCCCGCATCTAGCCTTGACTCCCCTCATTCCACCTTGATGAAGCGCCCTCGGTAAGAGTTCCCCCTGAGCCCACATATCCAACCGTTGCGCCGGCTCAATGGGAAAAATGTTTTCGGCTGGATCGATGCAATCGCCGTCACATTCACTAAACGGTGTCAGCAGCTGTGGACATTTCTCCGTCAGAACAGCGCCCTCTTGGAGTCAGAATTCCCTCCCGACACATGGGTGCAAGCTAGGGACCCCTTTATGGCTATTTGGTTGGATCTTTGGACTTTAACTTTATTGGACCCACAAAGCAAGTTTTCTCTTTTTGTTCATAGTGTCGTTACAGCAACCAAGCTTGGCACTTGGGAAGGTGAGTGTTTCAGGGTCCTCCAAATCATATTATGGGTTTCTTGTTTCCACAGCATTTGCCGAACCCACTAGTCCCAACCTGTGTCGTTCGGCAGTGTCACCCCTTTTGAATCGAAACGCGAAGATATCCCCTGTGCAACGGTGGATAACTTGCTCACCGGCTTCGCTGGGATGGTCCTCGAAGCTGAACACAAATCTAGCGCAGCGACGCGCAACGACAGATTTGGGCTTGTCTCTTGAGGACACACATGTCGAGCCGTTTCCTGCTGGTTTCCCTTTCAAACAACCAAAACACAGTACCCTTTCGGAAAAAAAAAGAAGAACAAAAAAGAAGTGCAAATTCAGCAAGCCGACTGTCCTCATCCGGTTGCTCCGTAGCGATCCTGGCAAAGCAAAAAGGCGAGCGGATTTAAGCTGGCCTTGTTGCCCCCCACTGGCAGGGTGGAGGTTTAAACTTGTCTCAAAATAGGGGACCCTCGAAAGTGGTAATTTTCCTGTTGTTTGTTTCCCTTTCCCAGGGAAACATGGATCCTTCTGACGGGTTTCTTTTCTTTGGGGAGCTTGAGAGCAGTTAACTTGCCCTAAGCCCCGACCAAAACGCCAAACATGCTGATGTTGACTCCCTAGGAATCAACCCCAGTTTATTGAGGGGGGGTGACGGTTCCCTCCCAAAGTGATAATTCCAACCACCAAACCCAGAGGGACAAGCCCCTCTTTATGAACTGGGGTTGATGAAGAGGGGGTCAACCTCGGACCCCACCTGAACATCTCCGGCTTGTTGGTCTTGGTCACGGCCGCCGGCTGCGGAGCGGCAGCAGCCTGTCCAGCTGTGGTTGGTGACCCTTGGGACGCTCAAAGAATCAGACCAGCAGAGCTCCCTTCAGCTCTATCATCTCCATGTGCCACAGGTGTGCCCTGAGTTAGTTGGGCAGAATCAAACTCTTGGGCCTGCAAGAAGGGGCCTGCAAAACAGGAGAGAGCTCATGATCTGGGAGAACCATAGTCATTCATTGACCTGCAGACCTGCGGGGGATCAAAACCTCATGTCCGGTCGCACACCGGGCCCCGGTACTCGTACGCGACTCATCCAAGTCCTTTGCCCCCGAGCGCATCTGGAGCCATGGTGGCCGAGTCCTTTCCCGGCGGGTTCCACTTCCGGGGCCCCGGCATGGAACATCGGAGAACGAGGCAACCGGATCCACCCACCAGCTCATGGTTTCAGAACATCCCCGACCGGTGAGGGAAAGACAGCAAGGGCACTTCTCTTCGCGCCCTGTCTGAGGCCCTTCCCTCAACAAAGACCACGTCTATGCCAATCTCAGAAACTACTCTGAAGGTAAACCCCGGCCAAAAACGTGCTTCCAGTTCTCCACTTTGTGACAAGTGTACAACCTGGTTGCCTGCTATAGTGACAGGCACAGCCTAGAGTCTCCTTCTGATCCTGAAAAAATGGGGCTCAAAACCCAACAAACAGGAACGATGGGCTATGAAGGATCCTTCGACTCGACAATCCTCGACATTGCAGTTGTACACATTTGACATGATGCGATCCCTCGAAGTCAATTGCCTTTGTGTCTGGAGACTCCAGGAAAAGAAAGCCCATTTCTGAAAGGAAGCTGGAACTTTGCCGATGATTGGAAGGAAGCTGGGAAAATGGGCCCATGTTTAAAGACTTCTTTCGGAGATCTCCCGGATCCGGTCGGCTCCGAGTTCCGCGATGTGCGCCTCCGACTTGTTGCGGCGGCAGCGGCGCTGCCAGGCCGCCCCGATGAAGGCCAAGAGCCCCAGGCAGGTGCACCAGCGCAGCGTCGGCCTCACGCGTCCGCTTGTGCTTACGCGGTGGCGCCCCTCGGGAACATCCCCAAAAACGCGAGGCCCTCCAAACGAAACGGGGACCATTTCCCCCCCCCCCCCCCCCCAACAAAAAAAGCGCCCCCCCCCCCCCCAAAAGATTCCAAACAAAAAGGTTAACCCCCCCCCCCGCAAACGGGAGCCTTGAAATAGGGGACTCCCAAAAGTCAGGGTGCCCCGATGGATTTCTCTCAAGCCGAACAAGGGTACTCTCCAAAGCGACACACCCAAATGACCTGTGTGGGTTTTCAAGGGGTCAAAATCCGCACGTGAGCCTCTGACTCAAGCCCTCTTGCCGCTGGTTGTTGACATTGGTTTCAGACTTATTGACTCCTTTTTGGAACATCTGCAAACATCCTCATTCCGACTACCCAATACAAAAATGCCCATGCAACCGGAAGTGCAACTGGCACGGTGCTTTGGCAGGGACCATCGGAAACACACATCCTGAACAGTACGTACCCCCTAGGGACCATAACCATCGTGCTCCTGGCTGCGTCGCGAAATTGCCATTAAATGCGAATGGATTGCATGATCCTCCCGCCTGAAAGTGCTGTATTCCAGACTCTCACCTACATTGCGCCTTGTCCGAGTTTGAATCTGCGGCGCGCCAGCCTGCCACCGGCGCACCGCCTGCCTTTCTCCCTTTCCCGGGTCCCTTTGGCGCGCCTCTCGGTCTCCGGCTCGGGCTCTTCTGGGATGGCGGGCCGCAAGTGATGGTGCAGCTCCTGGATGGAAACCCAGCGTATTCCCAGCGACCATAGGTAACCTGTCAGCGTCCTTGTGGTGCTTGAAGGAGAAAATTATTTGGCTACCGCTATACAGGGATATGGTGGAATCCACTGATTATTCTGGTGGCTAGCCAGTCAGATGCGTTGTAGTGTTCGAAGGGTTGTTCCCTTGGTCACCACAACGGATATGGAATCACTCAGCACGACTTTGTGCCATCCCATGGCGCGCTTCCATCTCTGTGACTAGGTCTTCCGTTGGCTCGCAAAGGCATTGAAGTGATGGACCCACATGGCCAACGAACCTTCATCTCTTGCAGTCCTTTCCCACAGCTCACGGCTTGTTTGATGGAGTTCACTGATAGACTGAAACCCATGCATGGATGGGACATTAATCGTTGGCTGAAACCCATGGATGGGAAAATATCATATTTGGTTCACCGGTAGACTGAAACATAGGAATGCCTGCTGGGAAATCAAATGTTGGCTGAAAGCCAACCGGGCACCAACTCAAAATGGAGGCCGGCAGCCAAACCGGAAACCGTAAATGCCGGTCCTCGACCACCTGCACGGGCTCCTCCAGCGTATGTCCAATCAAGCCTTTCTGCCAGAGGATGGCATACACCGCAGCCAAGACTCCGACCTCAGGCGAGTGGACGGCGAGGAACCGCAGCTTGGGAGTTTAAATCAAACAAATGGAAGAGTTGAATTGTGTGTCCAATTCAAAACGCGCGTGTTCGAGCGGATCCTACTTGTAACACAATCCCAAAGCGCCTTGTTTTGGCTTCTAAAGTAGGGCACCCCCTTGCGGCTGGTTGTAGAAGGGAACCAAGGCCAACCAACCATTAGCACATACGTTGGCTATATTCAAAAGGCCTGTGGTTTGGATTTTGCATCACAACTAAAAGTATATAGAGCAAGAACAAGGAACATCTCAAAATCTTTTCGGGAAATCTTAGAATGTTTTCGCCGAATTCTGGAAATGCTTCCAACAAAAGACAACATGTTAATAAATTATTGCCAAAAATCTAAAACACAAACTGTATTTTCTAAAGATGCCCAAACAGTCACCTTGTCTGCCAGGTTGGAACGCTCAAGCACTCCACTGTCCTCTGAAGTCGGCTTGCACCCAGAGGCTCACAAATCAAACGCCTAGTGCCCCGACATGCTTTTGATCCCTACCCTTTCCATAAAGCCAGATGCTGGCTTGTTAGGATCAAACACTGGAGAGCTCCGAGGAGTACATGGGATGCACATGACAAACACTAGAGCTATCCAAGCAGCAAAAACCGCGCGTTCAGAGTAGCGATGTGGTGCGCCGCTTTAGGCCAACAACAAACGCGCTGGCGCTCAGCTTTTTTCCCTTGCACAAAGCGAGCACGCTGCGGCGATGCAAGGCTTTTTGCGTCACACGGCCCACGGCCTTCTCTACTGCCCTTGGCTATACCTCTCCCGCGCTCGCTTTCGCAAGCGCTCACTGAGGGCGCTCGTCTGAATGGCTGGCGCAGGCCCCGCAGCCGGCCCTGTCTCTGACAAGGCTCGCAAGCCTGCCATCGCAGCCTGGATGTCCTGCGAGGCATCTGTGACAAGTAAAGCAGACGGCGCTGTCTCAAAAGTCTATGATCCAAATTTCAAGTAGCCTAGCACTATAGCATAAAGATTGGGGAAGGGAAGGGAGTACACAATCAGGTGCCCCAACCTTGTCCTCGTCCTTTGATAGCGGCGCTTCCCCAGCTGCCTTCGAAGCGGCGCAGCTGCTCCATGTCAAAGCTGAAAATCCGCACTGTAGCATTGCCAGAACCACCGGAAGCGACATGGCGTTGCCGGCCAAGTCTTGCATCAGAGACTCGCTCGGCATCCAAGCCGATGAGCGCGGCAAGGAGCTTTGCAAGTCTTGGACAGCCTGCAAAAAGGGCAAGACTGGAAAGCCCTGCATGACTAACGCCTCTCGCCCAAGCATCAAGCGCGAATTTGCGCCCATGTCCACCCACAAGGACTGCTTTGGCAACATGGTGGGCGCCACGTGAGCGCCCGTCTCTTTCTGCCATGTAGCCGCATTGATGCGGCCGATGGACTGCGAGATGTCCCTGAAAATAGCACTGGGCAAGGCTGCCTGGCACAACGGCAGCGCGTCTTTCTCCCGCTCAGTCAAGCACTGGAACCATGAGTTCCTCGCAAGATGAGGACTCGGGGGCTGACCCCAGCGAAGCTTGAGGTTTTCCGCAAACTGCATGTGATGCTCGGCCCACCTGGCCCCCGACGCCAAGGACGACCCTTGGGCGCCCTGCTTCTTCTTGGACTCCTCAAGCTTTTCCTGGCGGGCCTTGAGCTCATCCTGCACGGCTTGGTCTGTCGGCGGGAGAAGGATCTCGCTGGCACACGGCCCTTTCCTCAAGCAGCCGCTCAGAAGGCCGCGAAAGGTTTGGAACACGGCACCTAACGGCCTCCCTTCAAACGACAGCAGCGGGCTCCCACCCACACGCACGAGCAGGATGTACACTCGCCGTCTTCGGGCAGCCAAGCCAAACTGGGCAGAGTCAAGCATAACGCTCTGGGACTCGTAGCCACGGGACGAGACCTCTGCGTGGAATATGTCAGCGTTGCTCACGCCCCCAGCCTTGGCGTCCTCCATGCTGTCCACGTTCTCGAACAGGACGACTAGGGGGTGGTGGGCGTCCAGGTAACTCAAAAACCCGCGAAATGTTTGAGCACTTCCTCCTTTGCTGCGCTGGTGCTGAAGAACGGCCTGCTGCCTGACGATCCCTGGGTTTGCCCGCGACATGTCCTTGCACGATGTGCCTATAATCAGCACATCGACGCACGGGACACGGCAAAAGCCTGCGTGTTGCCAGCACTCAGCCCTGTCGTTTCCCATGTCTAAGATATTCGTGAAGATACACGGCAAATCTGCCTGCTCCTGCTCAGGCGTCGGCTGCCCTGCGTCCTTGCTGCGGCCTTCGTCTTCGCTGCAGTCGCGCTCCGCCTGAGGCGAACGGGGACAAGGCTGAAGGGCTCGGTGGCCAGCCCTGCTGACAAAGCTGATCCATTTCCGCTTCTCTGGGTTGACTTCGCAGCTGAAGGCATGAGTGAGCCTGCACAGGGAGCCCTGGCACGTCAAGGCTTCGTTCATTGCATCCACTACAAAGCGAGCGCCCTCGCTCCCCGAGCAACAGCTGCCCCATGTCAATGCGCAGTCTGGCGCAAGGGGCCGGTTCTTGGAAAGCCTTTGGCAGGTTGCAAAGTTCTCCCGCGCAACCTTCGGAAGCCAGCTGCCAGTCAACAGCTCCGAAGCAGAAACGCTTCGCCTGGTCAAGTAGCTCAAGGTCTCTTGTTCCACTTCTGCAGGGTCAACCGTGGGCCGCTTCGTCAGCCTCCTCAGTGGCGCTGTCATGGCGCACGCTGCTTGAAGCAAAAGAAGCTGCTCGCAGACATCTCGCGCAAATCAAAGAATTGGCTGGGGGACAGAAACCTGAAACGCAAGCAAGCACTCAGCACCCCGAATCTAGCTAGCAGGTCAAGCCATCCCAAACAAACGCGGACCGCAGCCCTGGCTCCGACTTTCCGCGCGACTCTGTGAGTTGCGACTTGTTGACGCCGACAGCTGAGCTAAAGCAACTTCACATGCCTCCGCACACCTGCTCAGTGAATATCATCCTGGGGGCCAAGCGTGGGCTTCTGCCCGCCCAGCCTTGCTGCCAATCCTGCGGCGCCGCTGACTGCCGCCTTGGAACTTTGCACCGCTGCTGCGGCTTTGACTGCCCTGGCTCCAGACTTGGCTTTGGCTTTGGCCACACGGGCTCGCGCAGCGCGCGCCCCAGCGCACAAGCTTGCGTTGGGCCTAGCCAGCTTTGCCATGGGGATCTCGTCTAAGTCCTCTGCGTCCGTCACAGCCTTCTTGCGACCTCTGCCGGGCGGCTTCTTCAGCTCCTTCTGACTCTTCTGCTCCCCTTTCTTGTCCTGTGGCTTGCTTTTGTCCTTCTGTTCCTTCTTTTCCTTCTTCTCCTTCTTCTCCTTTTTGTCCTTCTTGTCCTTTTTAGCTTTGTCCTTCTTAGTACCCTTGTCTTTTTTCTCTTTCTTTATCTTCTTTTCATTTTTGTCTTTTGCGTTTTTGTCCTTCTTCTCCTCTTGCATGTCAGCGTGCGTGGCGGCGCTTGCGCTTGCCCCTGCTGGCGGCTGCGCTATTGATAGCGCCTGCTCTCCAGTCTTCTGCTGCTCTTCCTGCTTCTGCTGACTTTTCTGCTTGCCCGCCTCGCTCGGCTTGCCGTCTGGCGGCAGCTGTCCTCGGCCATCGGCCAGCACTATGTCGCTGGAAGGGGGCTGTGCTGGGGGACTGTTTGCTGGGCGCGACGCGGAAGCACTGCCGGGCGCTGGGCCAGCGGTGTCTGGTGGACAAGCGTCTTGGCTAGGCGCTGGCTCTTCTTGCGTGGGCTTGCGGGCGGTGTCCTGAGGCACTGCCGTCTCGTCCATCGCGGAAGCTTTTCGCTTCCGATCCGCAGCCTCTTCTTCTTCGCCGGAGGAAAGCACTAGAGGCTTCTCTAACGCAAGCCCAAGCTCTTCCAGCAAGCTGTCTTGGCTCAGTTGGCTCAGAGGCTTCTCTGCCTCAGCGGCCTCTGCGTTGGCAGGCTTTCCGTGAAAACTGGTCTGATGAGTGGCTGTGTGTTCCTCCTGCGGCCACTGCTTGCCTAGCTCCAGCTTTGCTTCTTCTTCCGCGCTGGCTTCCTGGCCCACCTTCGTCTTCTCCAGCGCGCCCAAGCTTGCCCGGGCTTCGCAAGCTGCAGCCCAGTCCTTGCCCACGTCAACCTCGCACGATCCTAAGGCAGCAGTCACCTTAGTGAGTCATTGAGTCATTGTGTTAACCAGCGGCCTCATGCGACGGCTAAGCATGACAAGCCAAACCGCTGGAAGTGCAAACAATCAACCTTCGGCCTTGGCTTGGGCAAGTTCTTGATCAGCTCTGAGGCCTGCGCCGCTCTCTCCATCTCGCAGAGCAAGCTCTTGAGAGCGTCATCCGGCAGCTTTTTCTCCTTTGGGGTCTTGGGCAACTCAACGCGAAGCAAAGTGACCAGGAGCGTCTGCAGCTGCCGCGCAGCGGCCTTGCTTTGCTCCGATTTCCCTCCTAGATGCGGGCTTCGCGCTAAGGTGAGCGCTGCGAAGTATGTCACGTGAGTTGTCAGAACTTGCGCCATTGCCGCAGCGCAGCTGACCACAGAGCTGGCAGAGCGCCCTTCAGCTTCAGCCTGCAACTCAGCAACCGCGGCCTGACTTTCCGCTGAGGGGTCAGCAGCCTTGCATGCCTCCAGCGCTGCCGCAAGCTCCGCTGTTAGTGCCCGCAGCTTCACGCTATCCCCTGCCATCTGCTGGCTCAGCTTGCCTAGATCGCGCCTGTAGTCTTGCTCCTTGTCACACGCTGGGATCTTGTCCAAGAGCCTCCAACTTTTCTCGAGGAACTCGCGCAAGCAAGTGACACGGCTCACAGCCTGCTGCTTCACGGACAGCAGACTGCTGCGCCGCAAGGCGTGTGCCCAGTCGACTGCATCCTTAGCCACCAGCTGAGTTGCCAAGAGCTTGGGGCAGCCCTTGTCGCAAGCCTCGCCCTCGGCAAGCTGCAGAAAGGTAGACGACGCTTTCAAAACCGAAGTGGCAGGTCCAAAAGCGCCGCTGTCGTCCTTGAGGGCTGCCTGGGCCTGCAGCTTCTCAGACTCCAGCACCTGCCCGCGACACCAAGCTGGCCAAAGCGACGGCGCGCACGCAAAACTCAAATAGACACTGTGACGTCATTCACTCAGCTTCCCCCAACGTAACGCAAAGAAAACGGCTGGCGATCAATAGAATCATCATCATCGGCTTTAAAAGAACCCTGGCGCAACGAATAACGCCGATATGATAAACCGGGGCGATATTACTACTCACATCAGTCATATCATGATTGCGCCAAGCTAAGCCAGCCTTGCAGCGCCGGCCCAGCCTTGCAGAACACGACGGCAGCTCAATCTTGGCTGCCCGCAGCGCTTCCAGCTTGTCTTGGCCCTTCAGGATCTGCTTCACCAGAGCCCCGATATTCTCAAAGCTGGACAACGTCAGGGATGCCAAAGTCTCTCGAGCTGCCTCCGTGAAATTCTGATTGAAAAGGTCCAGCTGGCGCACGTCGTCCACAAACTCCCTCATGCAATCGCAGAGGTTAGTCAGCCAGGAGTTCAGCGCATCCGTGCTGGCTGCGCTGGCACTCATCGGCATGTCAAATGGGAAAGAGCCCCTTTTGATCCAGAAGGCATGGTGCGCGCAAGCTGCCGTCTCAGCACTTGTGGACGCAAACCGGTCTCGCGTAGCTTGAACTTCGTGGCACAGCCGGGAGCCACAGCACTGCTTCCAGAAGCTGCTCTCCAGCAAAAGAGGCGACCGCAAAATCTTGAACGCTTCGCTCAAGGTGGAAGCGTGCGTGTGGCTGTCGCTGGCGGGCGCCTGGCCTCGCAAGCTCCAAGTTTCGTTGAAGACTTCCAGCACACCGGTGAGGAGGTTCTGTAGCTCCTGCTGCAGCTTTCCTTGCGTGCAGCTCCAGAACTCAGCCTCCAAGCTCTGCGCCTCCAGTTTTTGCGCTGCTGCTATGTCCTTTTGCTTCGCCAAGCTGGCATGCTTCTGAACCCAAGGCGCGTGCAGGTCCAACAGAGCCTGAGGCGTCAGCGCAGACCCTTGCACGGCCTGCAGCTGCGATCTGAGGTCCTTAAGCAACATCTCGTTGGCTAGGCTCTGCTTAGAGGCCTCCACTCTATTTTGCGCTTCATGGAGTAGCGCCACGCCAGCTGTGTGCTTGCCAAAGAAGGCAGCGACCGGCCCTGCGACTTCAGTCTCACTCTCTGCGCTGGCGGCCTCCTTGTCAACATGGGAACGGAGCTGACGCACGAGCTTCTGCATGCCTTCCACCGCTTCAGAGAGCTGCTGTTGATTGTCAACCTGCAGCAAGCCCTGCACCATGCAAGCGGGCGTTGCAACACGCTCCAAGAGCTTCACCCCTGCTGCGTGCGCCAGAGACACCTGGGTGCAGAACTGCCTGACAAGAAATCGAGCATCTGAAGTGGCTTTGCTGACCTGGCTGGAAGGCAGGGCCCGCAGAAGCCCAGTGAGCCTTGCCTCCACCTCCATATCCACAAGCTGCTCCACGTCATTCCGCTCTTGCACGGAAAGGAGCTTCTGCACCTGACGTGGCTGACGCTGCGCAAGCCATGTATGCAGCAGCCAACAGAACACGAAACAATGAAGCAAAGCGCAGAGAAGCCTTGCCTCCAAGCTATCCTCCTGGAATAACAGCGCATATTCTTTGAACTCGCGATAGAGCATGTGGTGCTGGCACTTGGCTTGCAGTAACTTTCGCCACACACACGCCCCCACGATAGCACCCTTTGCAGTCTGAAGATCACACACGGCCTTCACAGCCTCCGCAAACTCTTCCGCTGCCGGAGACGGCAAGGGCAGCTGGCTATTGAGAGCCAGGGCGGTTTCGGCGTGCTTGACCGCCAGCTCCAGCTCTGCAACTTCGTCGCTAACGCCTGCCTTGTTGGCAGAGCTGTCCACTCGCTTGAGCTGGCTGAGGGCGCTGGTTTTGAAGCTCTGCAAGCCTTTCTGCCTAGCATAGTGCTTCTTCTTGTCTTGAAAGTCGTACCCATCGCTGAAGTCCAGCATTGACTGGAGCCTCTGGCCGAGCTCGCCAACCTGCTTCCGCAAAGACTCTCTGAGTCGCAAGCCACGCCCGTCCAAGGAAAAAGCATCTGCGGCAGGCTTCTCAGCTCGAGGCGCAGGCTCGGGCCGATCAGGAGCTGGCGCAGAAGTTCCGGTTGCCGACGCAGGGGCTGCTGCTGGCGCGGGCGCTGTGGCTGCTGCTCGGGCTGATGCTGCAGCTGCTGCTGGCTTGGCTACTGGCTTCGGCTTTGCTTGCGGCTTCTTTGGCGCGTTGGTAGCCTTCCTCTTCCGGCCAAGCTGTGCGGCAAGCCTGCTCTTGGCATTGCCTCCTTCTTCCTCAGAGCTTGGCTCCTCAGCATCCTCTGCAGTCTCTCCGCTGGGCGCCTCTGCTGCGGCGCTGGCGGTTGCGCTGCAGGCCTGGCCAGACGAGCCTGCCGCCCCTGGCTTGCAAACTCCTTGGCTTCGAAGCAAGCCAAGCACCTCGTCCAAGGACATCGCTTGCGGCGCAGACACAGAAGAGGCCTCCCTCTCTTTGGCAGCTTCCGCGAACACGCCGCCAAGGGCTTCCTTCTTGTTACGCAGTCCTTCTGCCGCAAACGGTCCTGCATCTGGCACGTTGCTCAAAGTTTACTGCGAAGCCTAGGCTTGCAACTTACGAGAGAGGAAACCGTCCTTCGCCGTCATGTTCCAGGCCGCGCTCCTCCAAGGCCTTGTCCTCGT